TATTTACTGCTTTATGTTTTAGGGAAAATATGTTTAAGAAATTATTTCAAAATAGCAATAATCTATATACATATATAATGTATAATAATTGAAATGTGACTGTATTTTACAAAATACTAGTCCACTAAAACACAGCCAAGACAAGTTATTTTGTACAGACCAAATGTCAGTTTTATGTTATTTGATATGGTAACATGAATGCAAGTGAGCCGCTTCGTTGTAATTTCTGTATTGTTAGCTTGGCATGGGTGAAAGGTCAATATAATAAAAGTAATAAATATATATAAATGTATAATCTTATGAGATTTAAGCTATTTCGTCTAAACATTTATGTTTTCGTGTTATAATTTGTGTTCATTCTAGAATGAAAGATGCATAATTTATGTTTATTTCCTAATTTTTTATGGTGATTGCGAGATCGGGCAAATTTCCCGACCTGTACAGAGACTAATTACTGAAAATAAGAGATAAAATATATATAAATTTTTTTTGTAAGAAATGTTTGATAACTATCCAGGCATTAAAAAGATTTTGCATGTGAAATTTCAAAATGTTTTGATGCATAAAAGTGTTTCTGATCTTAAAATGAAAATTACTTTGTATTATAGATAGGCAAGATGTGAAAAGAAAAAAAAAGGCATGAGAGATACTTTGCTTTACAAACCTTAAGACTTAATAAAAAATTAGATATTTTGCATATGAAAGCATTACAATGTTTACTGATAAACTGCAAGATTTTGCTTACTAATTTAAAAGTTATAGCATGAAAAGTATAACAAGCACAAAATGGTTACGTGGTTGGTCCCAGGGACTGAGCCTGGGTTGAAAGAGTTAATTAGATATATCAGTACAGTATTCAAAAAAAATGAGAAAGATTTTTTATGTTTTAGGTACAATACAATAAATAGTTTCAGTTTCAGAAAATAAAGTAATACATGTCATCTAGTTTGATTTTTGGTGGAATTATTGAAGACATTTTAGCCTCAAATGATTTTTAAAATTTCAGTTTAATAGTTCAGAGAATTATCAATATTTAGATTTAAAAAAAAGATGACTCTTTTATAACTTTAATATAAGATGTTTTAAACGCTATGTATAATGCTTATAATTTTTAAAGTATAAGTGATTTAGTAGCATTAAATATATTATTTTGGTTCCAAATAATCAACAAGATTAGATAAATACTTGTAATGCTATGCAATAATAGTTTTTCTTATCTGTTAAACTTTGTAAGCATTTAGTTTCCATTTTACAAAAATTTGTGAACATCAGAGGAATATTGTTTTTTCATACATACCTGTTAAATTAATTATAGAATAACATGATAAACATCTTGCCAAAAAAAAAAGTCCCAGTTTTTTTATTTATGAGGGATGAAACCTGTTATTAGTATGTTAACATTTTCAAAGATAGTTAAAATATGTTTGAAGCACATGTAATTTAGATAATTTTGATATACAGAGCCATGATGTTACTGATGACACTACACATTTAGATGTTGAACACTTTGTATAAAAAAGTCAGGTCATCTTAAGAAAAAAAAGACCATTTGGTGGAGTAAATTATGGAAGGAGAATATTCTAATTTTTCTGTTTTTTAAAACCCCATTATCAATATGCTTATTTTATCAAATCGTAAGTTTACTAACCATACTACAAAACTTTATCCTTACATTTACAAACTTTCTATATTTTACATAATTATATTAATGTTTAGTTGTTTAATAAATCTGAATTTAGGAAATGATGACAGAGCTTCAGTAAAACTCAAAGTTAGCAGATACCTCCCTATTCATAAGACATGGGTTTACCCAAAGTGCACAAAAGTGGATGATACCCTTTCTACCCAATTTTTTCAGCTGTATGCTTCTGCAGTTATAATTCAAAATTTATTGTTCCTATCCTTAAACTCCTCACCATTACCTTTGCTTCTGAAATCTCTAAAATTTCCTTTGCTGAACAATATGTTATGGCCAATTTTGATATTGAATCTCTCTATACTAATATTCCCATTGAAGAAACTTTAAATTTAATCATGGACCTCCTCTTTCCTACTGACACTGAGCAGTATCTCGGTTTCACCCATAAACAATTTGTGGAACTTCTTGTCCTCTCCACAAAGTTAAACTATTTCCTCTTTAATGACGTCACTTATGACTATATAGATGGAATCATCATGGGATTCGAGCTGGGTCCAATGATAGCCAATAGTTTTCTATGCTATCATGAATGTAAATGACCAGAAAACTGCCCATGTAAATTCAAACCTGTCCATTACAAATGCCTTTACACCAATTTTAATAGTTTTATCCCCAACTTCTTGAAGCGTAATCTGGTCATGTCATTGTTAAACAGAATATTTAATCTGTGTTCGATTTATTCTGTTTTAGGTGAAGAAATTACCATTCTACACAAACACGTTAAATAATAGCTCTCTGACTAATTTTCTAACACAGATTACCTGCAATTTCCTGAAACCAAATTCCAACCACCAGCCAATGTGCACACCATCCCCAAATTTCCCCTCTTTATCTCCCTTCCCTTTATTGGTTCACAATCCTTAAAAATTATAAAACAACTCACGTCATTAATAAAATACTTCTAATTTCAAATTCAGCTTATTTCAGTACAAAGATCAACTACTTAAACTTCTAAATGACTTGTGTATAAATATACATGTAGTGACTGTAAGGTCACGTACATTGGCAAAACAAAATGCCACTTGAAAACTACAGTCTGTGAACATTTTGGAGTATCTAACAGAACCAACCATCCATACTTAAACCTAGCCACTCATCCATTCATTCACAGTTGAAACCACAGGTCACAGTATTTCATTTAACAATTTCTCTGTTGTTACCACATTATCTTCAGACCTTGAACTCTACATTAAGAAAGTTTACTCACAGCTAAAGCCTACTTGACTCTTAATGACTCGCAAAGCTCTTTAGATCTAAAATTATTCAAAATTTTCACACTTAAACCTTAACTGTTTTGCAATATATATCTATAATTCTTTGTTGTTTTATCCTTCCGTTTACCACTTTCTTAATAACTAAGTAAATGAGTGATTAATGATATTATAGTTATATATAATAATCAACTTGGTAATATGATTTTCTGGTTTTGGTGAAGATTAAATGAGTGTATTTTAAAACATTTGAACCTTGTAAATGGAATGTTTTGCATTCTGTTAACCGTCTTCGTTTTCATTATAAAGAAAAATGTTTTACTTCAAGAACTTTAATGGTGTAAATGCCTTTTCTAAACTGGTAAAACACAACTATAGTTAATTATACTTGTCGTAAGACATTAAAAGTAGGCATATTTGATAATTTTAACACTACATTCTTTATTAGTCCATTAGGGTTATTCAAGTAGAAGGATGTGTAATAGTATTACAGCCACACTATGTCCACCATATCCATTTCAGATGACATGTTTCACTCAATTTGAAACTTGTAAGGCTGATTGGGACTCAAAGGGACTAAATGAATAATGTAGTGTTGAAAATATATAGTAGGTCTGATACTAATGTCTATAGTTATGTGTACAGTATTCATTCACCCACTTATGTGTCAGTAAAATATCTTTTAAGGAATTGAGGAAAAAAAAGACAACTGTATGTTTCACAAATACTTCATTTATTAACAACCATGGTTTTGTTAGTAAAGGCATCACCAGGTATGGACTGATAAATATGACTGTGAATTTTAATGTCATGTTCATAGGATTGTAAGTATCAGTATGTTGTCAATGAAAATGATTAATTATAAATATCATGACCACAAAATCCACAAGAAAATATTTATTCATATCTAATGATCGATTATACATACTACAACAGTAGACACTGAACTGTAAGTTTTGTATTAATGGTTTTTCTTTTACATTTTGTGTTATGACTGTTATAGTTATTTCTAACCTCCAGTTATCACTTAAACATCTATGCTCTAATAAAATAATTAATTAACTGAAACTAGTAATTGAGTGAAGCTACTAATTATATTATGATTCCAGCTTTCTTGATCATTAGGTTGAGGAACGACTGTGAAATCTTGCTCCATTTAATTTTTTTTAAAATAGTTTTTTCTACTGAGGTACACATATTTGCTATTTAAATTTCAAAATTCATTTGTTATTTATATGAAAACAATTTTGTAAAAAGATTGTTCTTTCATACAGGGTATGCATGAGCTCTTAGCTCCAATTCTGTTTGTTCTGCACTCGGATCAACAGTCATTTCTTCTTGCTTCAGAGATAGGATATGTCAAGTAAGAAATTATATATGCATTTTTAATTGTGTTCCTTTTGTATTTATAATGAGAATAAATAAATATATTTATATATTAAATAAGCTACCAAATCTTTGCAACAGTTTACACCAAAAGGAAGGATAGGATGATTTTTTTTATGCAACATATCCTCAGATGAAATATAGTTAGATATATTTAATTTTATGGATAAAAAAATGAAAAATGAAAATGAAGTCACAAAACAAACATCCAACACTGGAACCACATCATAAGGTAGGTCATTATGTAATATGCCTTGGTTTTTTAAAATATCAGTGGAAGTAATATCCAAATTGCATTGGAGGTACCCTGTCTATCTGACTTAGCGCCAGTTTCATTGTTTCATATGTTAAAAATATATAAAGTGAAAAGTAGCAGATGTGAGTGCTCAAGTCCACAATGCTCCACATCTTTATCATCTTTTTATTGTATACAGCCAGAAGTGGGAATGTGATTGATCTTTCTTGTTTAAAAAAACAAATTTAGTAAGTAAAATAATAATTAGAATACTAAACATCAATGGGAAATACAACAAAATTGTCCTTTAAATTGGCATTACAGCCCCTGATATGATGTTTGGACATAAAAAACTAAGATGTTATTGTACTCTTATACTAAACCCTATTACATTATTATGTTATTCAAGTATATTTTATAATTGTTTGTTGATAGTGTTATTCAAAGATTTATCGTGTTTTCAAAACTATGTAATGGTTGATCCAATATGATCGTGTAGGTATATTCAAATTATTATTGTAAAAACTTATGTAAGAAATGTTAATATAGTATTAAGCCAACTTATAAATTGTAGTATGTCAGATTAGGGAAAACTCTTAAGTATAGCAAAAAAATTATAGCTGTGCTTACTGATTGAAACCATGCATCATCCATCTTTGCTCAACTTTGTGAGTTACTTCAGTAAGGGTAAATGTTCAGTGGCTAGTGATAAACATTTGTGATTTTTACTGATTGTTGGTTTTGAACAAATATTCTGTAAAATAGGGAAGAAATAAAAAAAATTAAGAGATCCTTTTATTAGAAATATTGTATAATATTTTTCCTATTGTACATTTTTTGTGGATTTCAGTAAAGTTTAAGGCATTAGCAGCATAATTGCCATCTTTAATCCTTCTATCTCAGAATTAATTATGGAAACATAAGAAATTTTTTCATTATGAACACTAAATTAAGCTATAATTATCATCTAGTGATTTTGTTAGGAATTAGAGATAAAAGTGATTTCCCATGTGTGTAATTATAATTAGGTTTGAACAGCTTGTTTTACCAACCATAGATCATTAGTTACCGAGTTAAGAGTGAGTTTTAGTCTTGCTGTTTGTTGTAGGAAAGCTGTTGGGTAAATCATAGCTATCATTTTATTTATATTGATGCAACTTTTTTGTATCTGACTGGAAAAAAGAAATCAAGTACTCTAAAAACTTTACTAACATAGAAAAAGGAATTCAGCTGCCAAACAGAAAATTGTTTGAGAATAAGATATTTAATCTTCCATCATGTTCATGAGCATTTTTAGGCATGGTAATGGTAATGTGTAAACCTCTTCACTCAGTATCATCATAACATTTTGCAAGTTGATTGAGATCATTTGTTCCACTTAAGTGCTTTAGGTAGTATACAACAATCACAATTTCTGTGAAATTCCTATTATTGTTTTCATGAATATTTTGATCAAATATATTTTTTAATGCCAGTAACATCAGGAAGTTTATTTGCATTTATACTGCGTGGAAATTCCCTCCTATGGTGAATAAATCATTTTTCATATAGAGAGAAAATGTGTCTTAGATAAGTTAGCATGCCAGTCCATTTTCTTTTGTCTATCTACAAAGCAAACTGTCATTGTCTCTTGACCCCAAATTATCTTGCATTATGAGACTAACAAACAGTTAATGTTATGTATATGTCAGTTAAGCAGAATAATCAGTAATCAACTTATTGGGCATAAAATCGACTAAATTGACACTGACAATTACTAAAATAATTATGAATTTGAGCATCTCAATGACTGAAATTCAAAAGAGAAGTGACAGACAAAAGTCACTTTTATCTTATACATATAATTTAAGGATAACAAGGGATCTGTTGTTCCATCTAGGCTAATATACTAAACTCTTGACTGCATCAACCACATCTGAAGACAACCCATTCCAAAGGCCAACCACCCTGTTAGAAAATTAAAGCTGTCTTAGCTGAAGATGACTCATACTTTGCCAAAGTTTATATTTATGTCCCATAGACTTACCATTTTCCCCATTAAGTACAAAAAAAGATGATGCATCAACACTATCAGTTCCCTTAACAATCTTAAACACCTCAATCAGATCCCCTCTAACTCATTTTTAAGAAAATATTTCAGAGATCTTAACCTATCCTTCTATGACAACCTTTCCATACAAAGTATCATCCTAGTAGCTCTCCACTGAACCTTTTCAAGATTTCAATCTCCTTTCTATGGTAAGGAGCCAAAGACTGAACACAGTACTCCTAATGTGGCCTAACCAATGACATTATAACCTCTTTAGTTTTATGTTTATTATTTCTGTATGTCAGGTTTTATTGGGTCATGATTCTTTACAGTTGATTTCTGTGACTTGTTGTTAATAAATTTCAACAATAAATGGATAGCACACAATCCACTTGTTTTAGAATCACGTATTCAAAACTAGTCAAACATGTGTACAAAAATCTGTTACATTATTCATTATTATAGTTGTCTCCAGAGCTTTAAATAATTGTCTCTTTTTGATCAAAGTCCACACCGGTAGGTTCAGTTACTTTAGAACACCTTTTGACAAGACAAATTATTCTCCTCTACTCTATTGTTATGATATAAGGCTGTGATACCCACTTTATAATTACCACCATAACTGTTGGTTACCACAGTTGTATCCAGAGCTTTAGTAATTGTCTCCTGCATCAAAGTCAACACAGGTGGGTTCAATTACTTTACAATACCCTGTGACAAGACAAGTTACTCTCCTCTACTCTGTTGTCACAGTACAATCAGTGATAAGTTCACTTACATTACCCTGTGGATTACTATAGTTGTATTCAGAGCCTTAAAATAATTCTCTTTTATGCTAGAAGTCCACACAGGCTAGTTCAGTTATTTTAGAACCCAATTGAAATGATGAAATATTCTTTTCCACTTTTTTTTATAATACAATTTGCGATTATTATACTTTAAAAAGTCACCACTATACACGCTTTAACTAACTCAACTCATGATCACCCAGTCTAGCTTCACTTTTACTTTCACTAACTTACTTACTTGCTTGCACTTTCTTGGTCACCTATATATATCTATTGCTCGACGGAGACCTAAAACTGTCTACAAATTGCAAGACATTGTGATTTAACAATAATACTCACTTAAAGTAATGAGAAAAATTCAGAAGGTTTGGGTAACATGATGTCAATTCACAATAACTGAATTCCACAATTTATGATTTGTAAATAGTTACGTAACCAAACTGGCAATAAACTATCTCTTCTAAAAATAACTAAGTTTAGCACTCGTGCTATATAAACTATCTAAATCATAACACATACATTAAACACAAACAGAAACAGTCGTGTATATTTAAAAATAAGCTCTCTTCAAGAAAAATATCTACAATAGTTTTAGTATCATATACAAAGACTGTTTTCAGTTTATGCACAAACTCTGCTTCTACAGTCTGCACCAACATTTTGCACCTGTGGATGTATAGAAGGGCTTGATGATCCATCTGGATAACGAATTCCTTCCCATAGAGGTAGTTCTGGAACTTCCAGATGGCAAATATAATGGCCAGACACTCTAGTTCAATCATAGAATAGTTCTTCTCACTACTCAACAGCTTTTCACTTACATTACTGGAAACAGTCCATCTTTCTATTTGTGTAGGAGTACTGCTCCAATTTCAATTTCTGAAGCATTGGGCTGAATGGTTTGTTGAAGTCTGGCATTCTAAGGATTGGTGAACTTTCTAACATCTTCTTTAACTTCAGGAATGCCATCTGCTGTGATTGTTCCCACTAGACCTTTCTTGGTCAGGTCAATCAGTGGTGCAGCAACTTCAGGGTAGTGTGGAATGAACTTCTTGTAATATCCTGTTAACCCCAGGAAGGTTTGATTTGCTACTTGGTCATCAGAGCTGGTGCATCTTGAATGTAGGCTAGCTTCTCCTCTTCTATGGCTATCTGTCAGTCATCTCTTTTGTGTCCAACAAAGCCCATCACAGAATAACTGATGTATAACTTAGATTGTTAATGGTCAGACCTGCTGCTCTCATTTGCCTGAACAGCTAAGTTTCTTCAGGTGGCATTCCCATCTAGCTGTGTAGGTCAGAATATCATCCACATAATGCTCAGTGTTGATGGTTTTATGCAACCTCTTTCTCTTCATGCATTTGAATGTCGCTGCTGAGTTGACTAACCCAAAAGGCATCATCTTGAACTGGTAGCATCTGTCTGGTGTCATAAAGGCAGTCTTCTCTTTAAATTCTGTTTCTGTTGGTATCTGCCAATATTCTTTACTGGGGTCAATCTTGGAAAAGAATTTGGCCCTGTATAGTTTTACCATGATAGCTTCTGGGTTGCTTATAGGTTCTGAGTCAAACTTCGTCATGAGAGTAAGATTCCAGAAATCTTTACATAAGAAGTTTCAGCTGTCTCTCTTCTTCATAATTACAACTGGTGAACAGTAGGCTGAATTTGAAGGCTCAGTGATTCCAGCTTGTAACATTGCCTCGACTTCTTGATTGATTAGGTGTCTCATTGTGTAGAGCATCTGGTAGGGTTTAACTTTGGCAAGAATCCCTGTTAGTAGTCTTGATGTGGTGTTGCACAAAGCCTGTCTTGCCTGGTCTGTCTGTGAAGACATCTGTGTACTGACATAGTAGATCTTGTATCTCTGTTTTCTGCTTACCATTCAGTTCTTCACTGATGTTGACTATTTTTGTATGTTTCATCTC